TCCCTCCCCTGTCTTCTATATCAGGCTTCCTACCACGACCCATGCCATGTGGGCGAACGCCAGCCCGCTGTCACCCCATGGGACAAGATCGCGATGTGATCCAGCGAGCCATCGCGCTAGCAGTAATCCTCGACCAGGCCGGGCCGATGTCTCATCCACCGCCATCGACCCTACACTATTGCCTGGAGCTGATTGTGTGCGCACGACGCTCCTTGCCAAACGGCACGCGCACTCGTCTCCTGCCCCTTTAAGACGTCTGCCCTCCAAGGAGCCAGCCGGCAAAAAGGGTGCCCGGGGCTCCGGTCCAGTCCAGACCCCATGATCAGACACGCGTAGCATCTGGGCATACTTAGCGTGCGCCCGCCGTTCATCTGTCGGACTTCTTTGGCCGGGATAATGTCTCTGCTTGGACTCTCGAATGGTCCGTCGTCACTCAAGGCCGATGCCCTACAGCGAAAAGTCGTGCTCACCTGGGATGATCCAGGCCAATGGCTTATTTCTGGTTCATTGGGAGTCACGTCAACGTGGCTGTCGATCATCGATGCGACCATCACCATGTTGTGTCCGAGGTGTGAACCGACAATCCTTGCCTGTCAATCACCCACGAGGCACATGGCGGTGATGTACATGTACACGGCATCTTTTGGTCATGCATCAAACTTCTGCACTGTTTGATTGCGCTGCGGACCGTTTGCTCAACAAGCAGACGCTGTTTGCTGGGAACCTAGCAGCGTGATTGTCTTGCCACACTTGACATTTCTGCTGGTTTGGCCTAAACATGAAGTTCACTACACCTCCAAGCAACTGGCGCCCAGCGTGTCGAGATGGACACCCAAACCACACATAGCCAGCGACTTGACCTCATCCCTGCTTTGCCGTTTCTCCATTTCCGCAATAATCGGCATACTGAGACGGTCCCGACACGGGGTTGCCCCACCACTGCATCCTCGCTTAGCACATTGCAGCTATCGATGGGAAAGAAGCACTTACAGTCGGGAAAGGCACCTCTTTGCCAGAGCCTCCGGCGACGGCGAACGTCAGGATAAACATCATGACCTTGGCGCCCGCGTCCAGGCCTCCGCCAGCAATGTAGTTGTACTTGCCGAACCACGCCGGATGGCGGAGTCGCATGTACCACTGCGACCACAAGCCGGTGGCGATCTGCGACCAAATGACGGACGTCGTGCCCGATGTCGTCTCGGAGGCGTTGTGGAAGATGACGGGCGCGACGAGCTTGCGGACTTCCCAGCCGTTGATGGTCTTGTGCTTGCGTGAGACGAGCCACAGAATGACCGGAATGGCGGCGCCGATGAGGATAGAAAGGGGAATCCTAGGCCTGTCAGAGAGAGCTGGATACAGCCTTGAAAGAGCATGAGGACTGACCAGCCATAACCGTCCTTATCGAAGCCGTAGACGTATTTCGCGAGAGACCAAGTCACGGCAGTCGTGTTGAGGGATTGAATCTTTCGCCCGCTCCACTGAGGGCCGTCAGCATCATAACGAGACCGGTTTTCGGGTGTCAACTCACGACCTGGTTGCCAAGAGGATCCAGCAAAATTTCCCTGCGGTTTCTGGTAATGGTGTCCATGATAACCTGTTGCATATCAGCTCCAACCCCCAGCAGTGCAAGAATGCCACTCACATAGTTCAATGCGGTGCCGAACAGGCTGCCATATGTCTGAAGCAGGAACATGGTCCTCCAGGGAATCTTCAGATACTGCGCCATCTTGAGATCCGTCGAAAGAAAGACGGAAAGCACCGTCACCTCATGACTGAACATGGAAAAATACAAGTTGGCAACGGGCTTGCCAGGCTGCAGAACGCCACACAGCATCTTCGACAGGTTGTTCGTCGACACGCTGGTTCCCAGAAGACCGTAGAGACAGAGCGAGAAAGGCGCAACGACACATCCGAGTAGCTGTGTAGTTGTTAGGTCAGTATTAGACGTGGTGCGAGCAACTTACAATGGCAATGACATAGGCCCAAGGGTCCAAAGTCGTATTACCGTGGATGACGGCTCCTAGACCTAGGAAGAATCCCACGAGAAGAACGGCGACGTACCACCAGATGGGCACGTCTTTGTAGTTGTCTTTCATGATCTTGAAGTGCGGGTCCGTTTCTTCCTTCTTCCAGGCCTGCTTGAGCGAGCGCTTGATGCTAGGTTGTGTCAGACCTCCCTTGATGCTCCTGCTGAAGATGCTCCTGCTGAAGAGCGCAACTTACAGAGGACCGTAGAACAGAGAGATATGAGTGATGAGAGCACCGATGGCGGCCATCGCGGCCATGTTGGCCCAGACATTCGTAGCCGTCAGACGGGGCAGACCGTGTTCTTCCAACGCATCAATATCAAGGATAGCAGTCTGCCCAAATACAGCAGTCTGGTTGTACACCTTTCCAGTCTTCGCATCGAACATTGCTGTCGACATGAATGGATACTTTTTGGCGCCCCAGGCACCACCGTAGTAGAGGCTGAAGCACATAATGTAGCTGAGGAAAATACCGGCCCATGAGTTCGCCTGCTGCAGAAGCGGGAGGGACATGTATCGCGACGTGATATACTGCCAGTCGAGAGAGAAGTTGAATAGACCTTGGCCTTCGTTGGATGAGATACCGCCGAAGATGGTCATCAGAATCTTCCGCGTTGGCGGAGCAGCATTCATTGAGGCGAGACAAGGGATGGAAATGCCATTGAGCCACGGCCAGATGTAGGAGGCGAAGGGCTCCCAGATGAACATGGCAATCGAGGTCAGACTGAACATCTTCAGACGCTGGTGGTTGGAACCCTCTGATTCGCGGTGGAAGGTCTGGTAGATTGAGACCATTGGGAGGCACTGCCACCAGACCATCTCGCTGGCTGGAATGTGTTAGAAATGGCTTGGCTGCAGAGGGCATGAAACGTACGGTGCACAATAATGGACCGAAGTATACCAACAAGGCCGTAGCCAAAGATAGAGGCTGAGAACACGGTGAGGATGGCGGTCGTAGCGTCGGTCTCGCGATCATAGAAACTGAACAGCAATCAGAACAGGTTCATCTGCTAGGGTTCGTCGTACACTAACAGTCTCTCTGCACCGAACACCTGTACAATCGCTGCTCCGTTGCCACTGGACGTGGAGAGGATCGAAGAAATAGCATGCTCTTTGAGGCCAAAGTGACCAGGGTTGATGAAGTGAACCACCGGACCCAGCCATTTTGCCTGTGATGGAAGAAACTTCTCGACGTGGTGACGGCGCGGAAGAACAACCAACCAAGTGACACCGTTGACATAGGCCATGAGGCAGAGAAATCTGGCAGCGTGAGCCTTCTCATTTATCCTCCCCGATACGGACAACTTACACAGAAGCGAACGACACATCAACTGGCTTGTAAAAGTAGCTGTTTCATGTTAAATTAGCTTAGTACATGCAAAAGGTTTGTATAAACAAACATTTGGTTTATACAAGCAGCAAGAGCCGTCAAGCCTTGTTCGAGTCAGCATCGATAGATCAAATGATGAATGACCGAAATGTGAGAACTTGATCTCCATCATCTTGGGTCGACACCACATATCTTGCGACATCGTTGCCTGCGAAGGGTTAACATCTCCGTAGTCGATAGAAAAGGCGGTAACCCGCAGCCATAAAGTCAACATACCATCCCGAATGACAACTCCACCATTCACAAGCCTTGCCTCGTCGTCGCGCTGATCCTCGGGATCTATCTTGTTGACCGACCGATCGTCATTTTCGACTGACGTCTCGTGCACAGGAGATGGCCCTGTTGCTTTGGCCGACGTATCTCCAGATGTGATGGGAGAAAGGCCGCCGGCTGGGCCAACAGATATGGCGGTTATCTTCGGGATATCCATGACTCGAGTCGTGCAAGAGGGTTTCGCACTGGGTCGTTTGTCTTTCACAGTTGCACAACGCAAGAAAAATGAGGCAGATCAGATAGACTACTCGCTATTCTATATCAACCGAGCTGCCAATGTAACTGTCGCCCAGCACCCGATGTCGCTGCGGTAATATCGTCTCTTGCCCGACAAGCTCAACTGACCTACACACGCAACAACCCGAGTGTCTTGCTTGCTGCCTCGGAGAAACTCTCTTGATATGATGAGCGTCGGGATACGTGCGACCCTAGGCTTTGCGGACTTCCAAAAGTCTGCATGGCGCCATCAGTACGGACGTTTTGTACATCAACAAGCTTCTCCTGTCCAGTCGGCTCAGAGGGAGAGTGCCGGTGTGGGCACCGCGATGTCCGGTCATCGGTAAAGAGGTGGGGAGTCAGTGGGCCGGCCCTATGACGAGTGTCCGGGTGACGATGGCGCCATGATGGGTTTAAGCATCCGCCATTGACTTTCGACAGTGTGCCCAAATTCACGGCGCCGGTGCTATCAGCCGTGAATTTTTCACAGCTGGAGAACTCTTCACCAACTGAAATAGCTCATTGACACCAACTTCGCAATTTGTTCGAGCTCAGATCACAACGTTATAGTTTGACTTTCTTAACCTCATCACTTCGTTGCCTCATCATCTCAGACAAGGCTGAACAAACGCTCGGAAATGGTGGTGCCTAACAGTATGCATCAGGGTGATATGATTGGCAAGCCGCAGATGACTCGAAAAGCTTCAATGAAATGAAGGGGTCTCTAAGAGCTCAGATGTGGGCTGTCATACGGCTCGTTGTACTTGTTGTAGCCAAACGCGGACGGTTTGGTAAGTTAAGGCAAGGTCAAGCGTGGCTACCAATGTGTATTGTTCACAGATCTGGAAAAGTCTAAACCGACCAGCCGAAGCTTTGGGGCAGACATGGGCATCGAGAACGACACGTGACTTCGGTTAAACTGTGACAGTTGTTGGGGGTTGTGTTTGACCTTGTGAGTCCTAACCTTATTGACGCCAACCTCGCAGGTCACGGTGCACTTGACAGTCAACAGGCCATCTAGTTCTTTGCATCGATAACTCTGTTCACATTAGGAACCTCTTCAATCCAGCTTCAGCATACCTAAAGACGACAGAATGGGATCCCGCGTGGTCATCAAGGCTCTAGACCATCTTGTCCTCACCTGCAAGAGTATACCGCAGACTTCCGCCTGGTATGCGAAGCACCTCGGCATGAAACCAGAATCCTTTGTATCCTCAACAGATCCTTCAACTGTGCGACACGCTCTGAAGTTTGGGGCTCTCAAGATCAATCTCCATCAGCAGGGAAAGGAGTTTGAGCCAAAAGCCACTACTGCGCTTCCTGGCACTGCCGACTTGTGCTTCCTGGTCCAGGATGGAACCAACCTAGCCGACGTCATTTCCGACTTTCAGAAATCGGGAATCCAGATTCTTGAAGGCGAGAAAGTGGTCGCCCGTACTGGAGCCCAGGGTCCAATCCGAAGCATTTATGTCAGAGGTCCAGACGGGAATCTCATCGAGTGAGTGATGCATCGATAAGCCCGCAAGGGACCCCCCACGAGGGGCGACGTGGGAGAAAACGGGGGCGCTGACGCCAGCTCTATAGACTGTCGCACTACGAAGATGCTCATTAGGGGTTCTTCAAGGTCACGACGAGTTTCTCTTTCCTCTGTAACCGATTGCCGTATGATTCTCGTTTCCGGAGTCGCGAATTGAGTTTACTCTCAGAAACTGCATCCTGTCAACTGGCAAATGAGCACCGCCGGTGCAAGAAGCCTTTCGAATCCGTCGCTGCCAATCTTGTCACAAGTTCGGTATTGTCGAGGTTTAGCTTCCTCGTTTGACTGATGAATCGTTGGAAGAGTCGGATCTTGACCCCCGTCCCCTGCGTGCATGCATCCCAGGCCGTATGCCAGATACCGCATTCGGAGGAAACAAGTACCGAATCACATTCATGAAAGTTCAGTCCGCGACTCGGTGACAAAGGCCTAGATTGTTTCACCAGCAGCGGGTGAATTGTGATGGCATCATCCGCCCTGAACCCTGGAGACCCCGCACGACGGCAGTAGAGTCTAAATGGCGTCAAAAAAGAGGCGTTCGTGTTCGTCCCAGGTTTCTTGTTGAATTGGGGGAAGACAGCTTGATTTTTGCACCTCGCGGGACGGTGATCCCTGGCAGCTGGCGCAGCACACAAGGGTGCACCCTCTTCGGGGGCGTGGGCTAGTCAAGGGTATGCCAAAGCCACCGCGGGTTACTGGCAGGTCCTCAGAGACAGTAAGCTTCTCATTTCCGCGGCACGCGCGGGAGGCTCCCGTCAACGGTTCATTTGTGATGCTTATGTTGACCAAATATAGACGGGGGCGGGATATGCCTATGAAGGCATCGCGGGATTGTTTCAGTCGCCTTTGACAAGTACATCGGGTCCTGCCTTGAGCGGTGCCCTCGGCACTCGAATGCAGGTCAATCGTAGCCACGGCGTGCCCGGAGTCGGAAAATAATGCAGGCGATGCGCGACTGTAGCCGCAGGTAGGTTTGAACATGTGACGCCACGCTTGAAACGTGTGCCTGGCCTAGAAACTTGTCACATCTACGATTATGCTGCAAGGAAGTTTTTTGCTGAGAGACCTGCTGTCGCTGGCTGGAGGTCAGCCGCACTCGACATGGGTTCTCCGCTTGAATGTGCCGTGTTGCCCTGACACTGGCCACATGCGTGAAACCCAACCAGAAGAAGGGACAGAAGCAGGTACGTGCGACAAGATGAATGGGGGTCGCCATGTGAAGCTAGACACCCACGCTGTCTTTGATTCGCAATTCTTGCCGGCTCTGAGCTGCTTACTATTGCTGACTTCGAGACTTTTCAAGGAGAGCCACGACGAATGCAACCCGAAGAGCCAGCTTTCCCCCAGACTGCGATATCATATCGAGTGGCAAGCAAACATTGATAGAGGACCAGGCCGGGGCTAGATTAGATAGACGTGGTGTTACGTAGTATTGTTAGAAAGTTGGAGGGTATATGACCCCTGATACCGCATTCCGCACTGGCTGGATGTACCATGTAAGTCTGGCATAATCGCCCTTGCCCGTCGCTTGAAGGGCAGTTTTGGTTTCGAGGATAGCCTCCGGGTCATGCAACACCATGTGCTTGGGCTCCCAGTATCCAACGGGAAAGTCGGCCCCCGCCGAAAGATCATCCTCAAACATAAGACATCGCACAGCATGTGAGCGGTAGCCCGATCGCGTGAGAACCATCAGAGAAGATCAGGGTTTTTGGTACGATCGCTGATCACGGCCACCCGCCAACAGAACATGGCCAGATCATGGTGGCCTACTGGGGAAGATCCGCGGGCAGCTTGTCTCACTCGAAGTCGCGCTATGGATGAGCGGATCACTAACGACCGATGCGGGCTGGTGGATTTGCGCGCTGCAGAGTCTTGGCTGTTGGTGTCGTGGGTGCCCAGCCCAATCCCTCGGTGCCCAGTGGGCCTAGAATCCGCAGTAGACTGAACGCCTTCTCGATCACCCACAGCCGCGGAGGGCGTCATCTGTGCGTGACCCTTTCTCGATTGGCTTCAAGCCATGGTGTGACTTGGGGACCAGCCGGACCAGTGCGTTACGCTGCTGGACTTCACTTCTTCAGGGTATTGCTCCGTGGCTGCGAAAGAACGAGGAGGTCTGTTCGTCCGGAGAATCCTTTTTCTTTGATTGCTATCGTGAACCGCCACAGCACTAGCACGTGAAGAGGTGGAACTTGGAGAGGCAATGGCCCTTACCAAACAAGAGCAAAGACGTACCCCTGTGCAGGATCGTGGACCATCTCGGTGGAATTTGTCCCATTGAGCCAGACTGAGGTCGCCGAGCAGAGCATGTTCCTGCATGGGAACCCGTATCCGGAGCCCTACCCATGAAATATTGGTCCAGGTACCAAGCAAGGTCCCAAAGGCCCCCCAAGATGCCCAGGACCCCAGACCAACGTGTCCGAAAAGTCGTTGCCCGGCTGGTGATAAGGGCACCCGACGAGGTCCGCCGTGACCAAGCCCCGCACCGAGGCCCCCATTGCCTTCATGGACCTCTCATGGCCTTCAATGCCCCGCCTTGAGCCCGCTCAAAAGCCCGCCAAATGGACACTAGAGTGCCACCACGACTGCAACCCCGAGGCCCGAGCCCCCCGCGGCGCCGGAAACCATGACCGTCCAGGGGGTAGGATCCCCGGCCCTCCAGGGGTTCGCACTACCGAAGTGGTAAATGCAATGGTGATCACTCTGTTGACGGCAGATGACTGTCGCAGGGGGTTTATCATGCCGACCTGCCACCCACCCTACCCCCCAAGACAAGCACCACGACCAAGTACGACATGGTCCTGGACATGCCCTGATTTTGACTCTTGACGAACCCGCAATGACCTGCGCGACTACGAATAAACGCGTCAATCCCAAGACATGTGGCCCCGGCCACCGTTGAACGCGGCATGGATTCACCTAGGCTCGCCCAGGGGTGTGTGATGGCGGTTGATGCTAGACTCCATGCTTGCGCACAGAGGTCGACCAGAGTAGTGTCCCAGGATACACTCCTCTCTATCTGATCAGCCTCTGTCCCCTGGTCTGGGACACACGCACGCTCGCACGCCCCCCCCTTCTCTGCTTGTTCAGTTGGGAACATAAACGCACCGTCGGGTCCTCTCGAGCACCATCCATCTGTTCTCTTCGTCTCTTGTAGTTCCATCCGGCAGGAAAGCACACACCAACACGCCGTTGACTCGACTCAACTCGACCTGCAGCTAGCACGACAGCCACGCCGCGTGCGCATCTCGTTGTTTGTCTCAACTCGGATCCGGCCTGAAGATCATGTCTTGATACCCTCTTCACATGTGCTCGGATATCGGCGCAGTGTTGGCTTCTCTTTTTCTGTGAATCCAAACAAGACCGAGGACCATCGGACTCCTCCCAACCCTTTCACAAGGAACAAACATCTCTTTGAAGACGATCGACAATAACAGATTCGTCATCATGTCCGACGCCATCCCGCCTGAGATTGCCAACGCCAACAAAGGCCCTGGCATCCTCGCCGTCATCATTCCCGTCTCCGTCTTCAGTACGCTCTTTACCGCCGCCCGCCTCTGGGTTCGAGGCAAGATCCTGCGCCAGTTCCACGCCGACGACTGGCTTATCGTGGTATCTGTGGTGAGTACGGCCTCAGTCGAGTCGATCATGTCTTGCCGGAACCATGTGGCGCTGACCCAGGCTTCAGATATGCTGCTGGATCTCCGTGGCTTTGGCCGTCAAGGCCATTGATAACGGCAATGGCCGTCACATTGTCACCCTCAGCCAAGAAGAGCAAGAGGGTGTTGTCTTCTGGACCCTAGTCGGGTTTCCCTTGGGTATCCTATCCTTCGGTATCCCAAAGCTCGCCGTCGTTGCTGTCCTTACGCGCATCATGAGTCCCGGACGGACGCATACCATTGTCCTCTGGACTATGGCCGGCATCTGCAACGTCCTTTTGGCCCTCAACGCCGTCTTCTTGCTGGGGAGGTGTGTTCCCGCAGAGTCCCAGTGGAACTTTGACATCAAGGGAAAGTGCTGGGATCCCCAAATCCTGGTTCGGTACGCCATCGCAACTGGAGGTGAGTTTTGGATTCTTCCTTGTCCCGAGGAAGACCATCAAGCTAACGTCGTTTACAGTCTTCTCCGCTGCTGTCGACCTCTATCTCGCGGTGTACCCGGGTCTGATCCTTCTCAACCTTGGCATCAAGAGGAACAAGAAGATTGCCCTCACCGTTGCCTTGGGGCTTGGCTGCATGTAAGTGTAGACCCGGACAACTCGGACAACCCAGAACCAGCACTGACAAACGATGCTAGATCAACTGGCGTCGCCATCTTCAAGTGCACGCGTCTACCGTTGTTGGCTGCCAAGGACTTTTCCTGTACGTCGTCCCAAGAGCCTCATGCTGAAACACCCCAATCTCAAATCGGAATACCATCTAATTCTCATCGCAGGGGAAACTGCCGAGCTCGTCGTCTTGAACATGTAAGCCAACGCCCCCCGCGCTTGCAATGCGCCCACTTGAAACGGGTTTCAATGCTAACAATGTTTCCAGCGTGGAAGGTGGCACACTCATCATCGCATCATGCATCCCGGTCCTCCAGCCATTACTACGAATCATTATGAAGAGAGAACCGCTCGCCACGTCCGGGACGCCCGGACAGGAAGGTTACAACCGCGGCGCATCCGCAGGGCGGCCGCCGAAGTACTCCGATCCCAACTACAAGGGACCTGCCTTTATGCTGTATCCTGTCAAGTCGCATACGAGGACAACACACGGGTCAGCAGACTTTCTAGTGGAACACGGTGTTCCCATAGAGAAGAACTAATGTGCCGCGGCGGGCGTCACGTCTTGTCAGACCATAATCTCATTAATAAATAACGAAGCGTTTGATTTTCTGCATCATCACACTCCCATGTACCTTTCGCTGTTGATCTGTTGAATCTCGAATCATGTAGGACGGACCAATGTTCATTCACGACGGGCGTCCGTCGTTGATCATCATGCCCGGGACTCCTCACGTAATGCTGCATAAGCCCCCTGTTGCTCCAGTCTGAAGGGCGCCGTGCCAGTCGATCTCTATTGAAGCGGATACAGTCACGAATCAGTGTTTGAACGCTGCCTTGGTCACGCGGCAGAAGACGTGCGAAGTGTCAAAGTCTAAAGAGTGGCTGCCCGACTGAGGTAAGCGACGCTTCATTGCCGCGTTGACCAAAAACCCGCCTCACATGCTGGGGCAACGCTGCTCGTACATGACCTGTCACATTCACCCCTGGACCAGGGTCCCCGGGGGCCTCCACTGGTCACTGAACCCCCCTTGCTCCCCGGGTGGGCTCGAGGCGCAAGGCGCGTCGACTTCACCGCCACGATGTGATCGCTTGCGCTCTGTGCCGAGCCATCAATGCCACTCCCCAATATTCCTGTCAGCCGGGCCAACGGCACAAAAGACCCATCAGCAGGTCAACAGACCCACGGGCCGGATCAGAAGAGAGCGGGTTACGGTCGCAGTCGTGGAGCCTGTGGCACCTGCAAATCTCGATATGACACGATTTCCCGTGCGGATAGCCGTTGCATTGCAAAGAAATCTTACTGCTACCCAGCCAGCCAGCCATCCGCTTGTACTCGATCTCCAGCCCCTCTGACGCGAGAACTCGCAGAGCGCCAAAGCCGTATAGACTTGGCCGACACGGGCGTTTGGATGACCCATGAGAACGGCACGGACAGTCTCCACGCCGCTAGGCGAGCTTCCCAGCTGGTCCGGGGTGAATTGCCGACTGACGGTTGCAAGACGTACGCGAAGCTCTGCGGCAGGTTCGTCCAACAAATGGCCATTGGCCATGCATCTGTTGTAGTGACCCTGACCTGCTGTTTGCTATTGCGTGCTTCTCTTACGGTCGGAAGATCGACGTCATACTTCTATGTGGTTCTTTTCTTGTCAAGCTGGCGACCAGACTCATGTGCGGAAGAACCGGAACGGCCTTGGCAGTCATTCGAGGCCCGTGAAGACACCAAGGAGACGCAAGAGTCATGGTCTGCGACTATCAGGCAACAGGCCTACAAACACATACACTCGGCAGTTGGGCCGAGTCTCCATCTCTATATACAATGCACGGCCATAACAGCATGGGAGGAGCTAGCCCAGGGATCGAGCGGAGGCGAACCTCAAGGGAATCCAGGCCCGTTCACGCAACCCATCTGGTGTGGTACCAAGAATGGGGGCCTTTGAAAGTTTGTAAAGACGTCCAATGTGCGAGACGAACTGCAAAGAAGGCATTTGATGGCTGCCAAACGAATGAAACACGTCTGCATTCGGTTTCAAACCTGACAAGCGAGGGGACACAGGTCCGCTGTCATGAGCTCAAACTCTTCTCACGCTCGGAGCTTAGCGATGTGTCGGTTGCCAACAGTCTGATTGGACGTTGAACAACGATTCTCATACAGAATGCTGCATGGTGGCCAATGGCACTAGTTCTATATGCTGAGCCGTTGTTTTTTTCACACACTAGGTCGGGTCAATGACAGCTACTGGCCATAATGCAAATGCTTTCATCGGATGTTCCCCAAGGAACATATCGCCTACAGCTAGAGTATGAAATTTGGGCGAATAAAATCAAGAACCCGTTCCGGATTTGCCGGAGGCTATTAGACTAATAAATCAGAGCAAAGGTATCGTTCGTTGACCGAGAATGCAACCCCAAAAGATGAAACAAAACCAACTCCCACGCGGATCCAGTAGCCCTTGAAGACTACCTTGCGCGTTCGTTCTCGCTGAGTGTCGTAACGTCGTGTAGCGCTATTAAGCAATACCACTCATGCGAGATGCTTCTTGATGCGTCCGAAGAAGGAGGCGCGCTGGGGTGAGACATCTGAAACGAGTGTTAGCCAGTGACCCGCGTTGACTGTAGCCTTTGCATGACATACCGAGCTTACACAAGGAGTCGCTATCCTTGAGAGTCGTGGCATCGCCATGGCTGACAAGGGTCGACTGAGAGGCCATGGCAGGCTGGTTGGTGACCACTTTGGATTGGGGCTTCTTGGTCTGGTGGACAAGCTTGGGCATCATGGCGCGCTCAAGGCCAGGGATGGACATGGCGGAAACATATTGCGTGTTCGACATGGTGGCGGTTGAATCGAAGAACGTTTGGAAGAACGTTTGGAAGAACGTTTGGTAAGACGTTTGGAGGAACGATTGTTGAAGTTGACAGGATGTGAGTGGTGGTGATGCTTTTCAAGTGAGGTATCGAATGCTTCGAATGAATACTGCTGTACTGCTGGATGTAGAACAAAATAGCTTCATTCTGCACAGCAAATACAGGTATATGAATAATCGCATGAGCACAGTCAAGGCTCGGAACGGTACGAAAATTTGCTGAGAAATACCGAAGAGCGGCTTCGGCTTGAATAGTGAGCGCTGACCCATCGTGATGCCGTGATACGAAGTAATGTTGTTTCGCGGTTCTAGGAACCACTACTTCCGAAAGCGCTGGGCTCCCTGCAAAAAACCAGGTACCTCCTTCACAGGATCGTGAGATTTAGCAAACCAATCAAAGCCGAGCCGCCTGATAGTCCCCATTTCCATCCAATCGCCAGTGCTCGGCTTGGACGGAAGGAGCTCGGCTGCTCCGCAATGTCAAGCCGAATAGTCAGCCGCCCACCGAAGCCGAGCAGCTTCAAGCCGAGCGCGAAGCCGACTTTGGTCCCAGGCTGCGTCACATCTCCTTCATCGATGACCAAGCCGACTTCGCACAATCTCGGCGTGGGACTCGATCAATGGCGCTCTTGTCATCCCTCGACTGACTCCCGACAGTGAACGACGTCGAACCAATGTCGGGCGACACGCCGGTGCTGCGAAGACCCAATGGCCGCCCCCAGGCGTGCGAGCCGTGCCGGAGACGCAAGGTGGCTTGCGACCATACGCATCCCGTCTGCCGCAGATGCCAGGCAGGCAAAAAGGCCAGTCAATGTGAGTACATCGTCGACACACGGACAGCGACTGCAAGCACCCACAGGGCCGGCAGCCCGCTGGCTCAAGCCGCCCCGCGAAGGAGATCCGCATCGCCTCCGGGCACCCGTCCGCCGCCGCCAGCAGCCCCAGCAAGACCGGAACCGTCGCCGGAGCGCCCGGAAACCGCAAGGCCAGAGAGTCCTCGGCATGTCGGAAGGGTGCTGCCGGGGCCGGGCTATCTGGGGTTCATGAGCTACTGCGACATTTACGACGAGACAGACCGAAGCCTGTCTCTCTTGCGCGGTGGTCCGGCGTCAGAAACGACGCCGACAGAGACGCGTGCTATAACGCCTCGGACTACCCCTGTGGTGCCGACGCTGTCCCGCAGAAGTCTCGAGACATGTTTGACCGTGCTCCGGCATGTGCCTACCCGCGCCGAGGCCCGCCGCTTGTTCGACGACGGCTGTACTGTGCTCGACTGTTGGGTCCGTCAGGTCACGCAGCGCGTCATGCTCTCCCTCTACGAGATTTTCGGTCATTGCCTTGGCGACAGCCGAAAAGAGACAGATCTGATCGACATGGCACATCTCCTCTCGCGCAACACCTCGGTCAGCCTGAGTGACAAGGAGGCCGATTCCGATGCGTGGATCCAGTCGTTTTCCGGCAGGAACCTGCGCTGGGACACCTTGGGTGTCATGTTTGTATACTGGGCGTTCGGCGGCAGGAGCAAGCGCTCGTTCCGTATGGAGAGCGGCGACCGTACCGAGGTGGCGGGCTCCGTGTTGACGCTGCAGCGGTGCATCGATCTCTGCGTCGAGCTCAGCCGCGGCGCGTCCGAGGGCAACATCCTCCTGCTCTACGTCTTGTACCAGCGCGCCGTGCTCGAGTCGATGATTGCCGGCGACGCCAGCCCCTCGGTATGGCGGTACCACGGTGAGGCAGCCGGCCTCATCATGTACCTCGGCATACACGCCGAGACGGCGAGAGATGCCTACGTGCCGACGCTTGCGGGCGAGCTGCGGCGCAGGCTGTGCGGTCTTATCATGACCATTGACAAGGTCGGCGCCATATTCACGGGGCGTCCACCTCTGATGAGCCGCCGCTACATCAGCACGCCGCTGCCGCTGGATCTTCGGAACGAGGACTTGATGGGCGGTCACGAGACGATGGTCAAGGCCATGGGGGCCCTCGATGAGAATGGTTGGAACACGTCTGGCGGCCCGTACCCAGCGACGGTCGTCCGGGCGAGAACGCTGCTGTCTTTGGTGAAGGATGAGATTATCGAGATTGCCCTGGGGAACGATCGCCAGGCGAGCGTTCAAGATTTACTGTGAGTTGCCGAAAAGCCGCACGACTGTGCCCCCGAAAGCCTTCCACCCATCTCTGACACTAGACGCCAGGGCCCTGAAAGCCCGCCAGGACAAGACGATGGCGGAGCTCCCCCAAGGTCTCAAGTACGATAAAGAAAACCTGACCGACTACGGAGTCGAACAGCCTATCGTCTTCACACGCCATGTGATACAGCTAGAACATCTGCAAGCTCATTTCCTCATCCAACGTCTCCTGATCCAGCGCGGCTACGACGGGCAAGCCGACCTCATTGCCATTTCGTTCGCCATGGTGTCGCTGACGGTCAAGTTCTGGACACACATGGATCGGTTCTCGCTGATGATTGGCGACTTTGAGTGGCTCGTCATGGCGTACGCTGCTCCATCGGGCGGCATTCTGTGCCAGGAGCTCCTCAAGCCCAGCGTGCGCCTGCCGAGCGTCGGAGACGAAACGGCGGCCTCGGGGGCGTCGGCAGACGACATGCTGCAGCTGCCGACGCGGTTCGCCATGATCGAGCACCTCTTCCTGCTGGTCGGGTTCCTCGACCGCGTATCGCCTTCGGCGCCCAACGGCGATCTCTGCCGCGATTGCAAGGTTGTCATCCGCCGGGTGCTGGAACAGAGCGTCGGCCAGCCGCCTGTCGCAGCCAGCGATGTCAGGGGGCTGGCGCCCTGGGACGTGGATCTGCAGCCGTCGGTGGATTTCAACTTTGAGCTGCTCGACACGTTTGACTGGATCCGCGCGGAAGCAGGCTGGTGACCAAGGGTGCCTCTGCAGAACAAATGGGTGGATGGGTGGATGGGTGAATGGATGGATGCAGAAACGAGAGGAACGAGGAAAAGGAAGGACAGACGCAGAAGGAGAAGGAGAGGAAGGAGGCAGGAGCGAAGGAGAGGAAAGAGGTAGGAGCGAAGGAGAGGAAGGAGGTAGGAGAAAAGGAGAGAAAAGAAGCAGGAGCGAAGGAGAGGAAAGAGGCAGGAGCGAAGGAGGAGAGAAGGCAAGGCTCACCGAAGACACACCGAGCTCACCTCCCACGTACCGGGCGCTCACGACATGGGCGCCAAGACAACATCGGAAATGAAAGGGCCAATGGAACGCCACACACGTGTAGCTGGCGCCCGCCTCCTGCATGCAGCAATTCCAAGATTGCGGTCTGGATCTGGCTTGGCTTTGCTTGGTGGAAGCTGGATCCTTGATCCTTCGACATTGGGCTCGATCTGTCCCGACGCCTTCTTTTCTTGCATCTCCTCCTTCTTCTTCCCCTCTCTCCTCCCCCCCCTCCGCGCTCTCCCCTTTCCGCCTAGCCTCTGCCATTTCCCAGTGCAGAGCAATGTCTTTGCTCAGGCGGCCATGATACGCGGCTTTCGACCACGAGTGGCCATTCTGGCCGCGGTCGCCATCCTCTTCTCCCTCATCCTCATTCTACTCGTGCTGCAGGATCGCGAAACCGGCTACCTCTACGCCCTCGTTCCTCCCGACCTTGGAAGCCAGCGCCACTATGGCAACGACTGGGCTGGCGCCGACGCCAACACCGATACCGACGCGGACGACGTCAACTCGACCCATCCCATCGACGAGCTCATCGAAGAGGCCCAGCTGCGTCACCGCCAGCTTCTCGGCAAGCAATCCCTGACCCTGCGCCAGGCCGCCTCGCGCTACCGCGAACGCCGCGGCCGGCACCCGCCGCCGGGCTTCGATGTCTGGTTCGCCGCCGCCACCGCCGCCAAGGCCGTCATCGTCGAGGAGTTCTTCGACCGCATACACCACGACATCAACCCCTTCTGGGGCGTCGACCCCGCCGAGATGCGTCGCCACGCCGCGCGGCAGCCGTTCATGATCCGCGTCCGCGGCGGCAAGACCGACACGGACACGGAGGGCGAGGAGCCGCCGTACCGCGTGCGGCAGTGGGCCAAGCTCGTCGCCGAGATGGAGCCGCACATTCCCGACCTCGACATGTTCGTCAACGTCATGGACGAGTCGCGCGTGCTCGTGCCGTGGGACACGATGCGCGGCTACATGGCCAAGGAGCAGCAGGGGCGGCGCCTCGTGCCCGTCGACGAGGCCGTGTCCGAGTACAGCGGCGTCGGCGACGCCGCCAGTGTCCAGGATCGGCACGACCCCCACTGGATCAGCGACGAGGTGACGAAGTACTGGGATCACCTGCGCGTCGCGTGCCCGCCCGACAGCCCCGGCCGCAACGTCACGGCGCTGCCCTCGTTCGACGTGCCCGTCGCGTACCCGGCGGCGGCGCCCGAGGCCTACACGTACAAGGGCTACGTGCGCAACGCGACGGCGGCGCAGGACCCCTGCCTGCAGCCGCACCTGCGCGGCCTGCACGGCACCTTTATCGAGAGCATCTCCATGTCGACGACGCACGAGCTGCTGCCCGTCTTCGCCGAGTCCAAGCTGCCGCAGAACAACGCCATGCTGGTGCCGGGCGCCGTCTACCTCGACGACGAGCGCGTCATGTACAGCGGCGGCGCCGCGCGCGGCGGGCCCTGGCACCGCAAGCGCAACGCCCTCATCTGGCGCGGCGTCTCCTCGGGTGCCCGCAACAAGCGCCACAACTGGTGGCACATTCACCGCTTCCGCTTCGTCCAGATGCTCAACGGCACGACCGTCGCCGCCGCCGAGGCCGGCGACGCCGCCCGCGCCAACACGTTCACCCTGCCGCCGCCAGGCGAGAAGAAGAAGAACGTCTACAACGTCGCCGCCCAGCGCGCCGGCCGCCTCGGCGCCTGGCTGCGCTCCTTCGCGGACGTCGCCTTCACCGACATCCTCTGCGACCCGCCCGACATGTACACGCACTGGTGGAAGGGCACGCTGCGCAAGAAGATCTGCACCATGGTCGAGCCCTACTACGGCGTCGCCGACGAGCTGCCCATGAAGAAGATGTACAACCACAAGTATTTGCCCGACATTGACGGCAACTCGTTCAGCGGCCGCTACCGCGCCTTTCTGCTGTCGTCGAGCATGCCCCTCAAATCGACCATCTACGCCGAGTGGCACGACGACCGCCTCGTGCCCTGGGTCCACTTTGTGCCCTTTGACAACACGTACGTGGACCTCTACGGCATCATGGACTACTTTCTGCGCGGCCGCGACGCCGCCGCCGAGCGCATCGCCACCGACGGCAAGCGCTGGGCCGAGACGGTCTTGCGCCGCGAAGACATGCGCCTCTACGTGTGGCGGCTGCTGCTGGAGTATGCGCGAGTCATGGATGACAATCGCGATCGCCTAGCGTTTGTGCAGGACTTGATTGATTAGATGACACGTCATGAAACGAATAATAGCTAGACGAATAGATACCCCAGCTTTCATGGTAAAATGCGATTATTTCCTTGCAGTGGCATGTGCACTGATATGCTCTATCCGATCTATAAAAAAACAGTTCTATGGGGGTAGCCAGGAATTGAAGATCAACAGGAAAAGAAATATGAGAAAGAGAAAAAAAAAACGCCGTGCACTCGTATACGAGTGTGTTGACTGGTAGACAGTGCAACAAGCCAGATGTCCAAGATTTCGAAGACTACTCAGCCTTCTTCGAAGCCTTGGTGCGCAGCTTCATCAGCAGGTACACCAATGCGTACGAGCTGAGGGCAAAAATGACCACAATGGCCGCATCGCGCCAGCCGTAGTAGTACTCCATTAGGTTCAACGTCCGCAGGTAATCGCTGCCATCTGAGTACTGGCAGATCCGGCACGCAGACGTCGCTTCCGGGTTAACCAGGTTGGCTGCGGAGCCCATACCCTGCAAATAGTCGGCAAGATAGTCGCCACAAGTCGTCCCATTAGGAGTGTCAAATAGCGCAAACTCGTGGTCTTTGCAGGTGACGTCCGTGCCCCAGACATCAAAGACGAGCATGCTGCCCATGAGGTAGTTGAAAGGGTTGAGCCAGTACATCCAGTACCTCCAGAACGTCTGGAGCTGTGAGTACGGCACGAGAACACCACAGAAACTGATGAGTGTACCCAGGATGATGGGGTTGACGAGCGAGGCGAAAACGGCATTGGGGGCGTAGGCAGCAACGAACTGACCGATACCAGTGTAAACAAACTCGTACATCAGCATGACGAAGAAAGTAGCGCCAGCGCGGTTCGAGTCGCCGGGAAAGCCGACAGTGTAGTACCAGCAGACGAAATAGCTGACGGCACAGATGCAGAGGTACGGGATCTCGGAAACGATCAAGCCCGTGACGAAAGCGATCCACGAGTACATCTTCGACTTCTTCTCGCGGGTTTCGAAAATATCTCGACGGTCTATAAAGAGAGGCTGCAACTGCGCCATGACGCCCGGCGCGACAAAAATAAAGTTGAAGATAGTGAAGAGACGTCCTGTCAGGTCGTTTACTGAGCTGCCGATCATCCAGAAGGAGAAGCCGTTGAAGAGGGCTCCGCCGATATGAAGTGCCAGTTTGTTGTTGACATAATCAACGTTGCGATACATGGCGACATTCATGCGGTGCGTGACAATTTTCGTTTGCTCCCACAGGGGTAGAGCAAACTCATGAGCTTCTTCAGTTGTACCAGGAGGTTTAGCTGCTGCTTCGGCGTTCATACGATCGAGCTCGTCAACAACAGCCGTGTGCTCAGGTGATGAGAGCCAGACCTCGTTCCAATCGCGACCCTGGGAGAGATGCCCCGAGACAACATCGATCATGTGTTCAGCCGGGTTGACCTCCTTGGGACACGGGGCACCGTGGCGACCAAAGTAGTCCTTGAGGGTGTTTCCATTGTCGCCAATGTCGCCGAAATAAACCGTCTTGCCACCCTTGGCCAAAAGGAGGAGTGTGTCAAATTCGGCAAATAGCTGAGCGGAAGGCTGGTGAATGGTAACGAGCACGGCCTGCCCAACATCGGCTAGCTTACGAAGGAAGCGAACAGTGCTATAGGCGGACTGTCCGTCTAGACCGGATGTTGGCTCGTCGAGGAAGATTAGAATGCTGGGCTTGGAAACAAGTTCAACGCCGATAGTGACTCGTTTCCTTTGTTCGACAGAGAGACCAGAACCGACGCGACCAATCAGAGTGTCAGCCAAGTCGTGAAGCTCAAGTAGATCGATAATGGTATCGACGTAGCGGAGTTTCTCTTCGCGAGGCACACTGCGATCCTGCCTGAGAAGAGCGGAGAATTCAAGAGCTTCGCGAACCGTGGCGTATGGCTCATGAACGTCGAGCTGCTCGCAGTATCCTGCAGAGCGTTGGAAGGAAATGGGTAGAGGACGCCCGTCCACCATGATGGACCCGTGAATCGTGCCGTCCGTCTTCCTCTGAGCTAGAACATCAAGTAGAGTAGTCTTACCAGCGCCCGAGCTTCCCATGAGTGCGCCGAGCATGCCTGGCTTGACCCAGCCCTGGACGTTGTCCAGAAGCTGCCTGTCGCCGCTAGGGGTTTTTACTGTGTAAGTGAGGTTCTTCCAGGTAAAGATGGATGTGTTGCGCATGAGATCGCTTGTTCCCTTTGCCTTTTCTGTCTTGGCGTTCGGGGTGGTGCTGGTCTCCACGTCAGTGGTCTCGGCTAGGGCTTCAAGATTCTGAGACTCCTCATCCTTCTTGAGGAGGTGCATGGATGTCTTGGCGTTCTCTCGGGGGATGACCAGAGACGGACCAGCTTCAGCAGATGGCCGCCATCGCATGGTCGCAGCGATGGTGATCACGACGAAGAGTACCCAAAACGCCCAGACCACGCCAAAGTTTCTCCAGATATGGCTATGGCTGTATGACAGGGCATCCAGATACTGCTCACCAGTAACGAATGTAGCGCCTTGCGTCGCTCCCAAAATACCAGCACACGACTGAAAGTTGCTGTCGGCGTAGCCCGGTCCATTGGGGATGAGGTTATTTCCGATACACGGGATGGTCTTGCCTTGGAATTCGTTGGCCATGAGGGCATCAAACCCATAGGAGAGGGGGTTAATCCAGAAGATCCAGATAAACCAGGGGTGCATCTGAGAATATTGGATCTGATAGCCGGCATAGAGAACTGTGGTCATGATTGCAAATCCAGAAACCTTGGAAGCAGCGTCGAAGTTGGGGAAGGAGGCACCAATAGCGCGGAAAAATGCAGTCATACACTGGATCCTGTCAGCAATGTGGCCCGGCGTTCAATAAGACACATATCAGCACTTACAAAGGTAATGGCGATTAGGATGACCCAGAATGTGAAGAAAGCCCCCGCAGAGCTTGTCAGTCCAACCATGAAGTACAGGACAACCGAGAAGACTGAAACTTGGAAGAAGATGACAGGTATATCGGCTGCAATTTGAGCGACGCAGAAAGCAGCGGGATGATACAGGGCGAACGATTTGTGTTTGATGAGGACGGGGCGACCAGCAAAAGAGCTCGTCACTTCGGCCATGGCGACTAGCGCATTGAACAGCAAGGCGAAGAAGACGGCACCTCCTTTCAAGAAAAGGCCACCCGAGTTGTTCGGGGCCATGTAGAAGAGCGAACCAGCCATCAAGGCCTGAATAAGGGTGGAAACTTGGGTGATGATGAAAGTTGCCTTGTCGCCCCAAAGGATCTGGTACTGACGAATAACGGCGGCTTTCACCTGGGTTGTGAAGCTGACCGTTAAAGGACTGCCCTTGGGGAGCTGGGGGTGCTTCTCGCCGACAACGCCTTCTTTGAACAGCCGGGTGTTCTCTCTGGCTTCCTCCGTATCCGGATAGTCATATTCTGCCACCATTTTTGGCTTGATCGCCGAATTGTCGTAGGCTTGCTGGACGGCGTCAGCTGTGCGGGGGAAATTTCGCTCAAAACCTGGTTTGATCTGGCGTTCCTTGGGCACAGTAACTCCTGTGAGAAAATCGCCAACGTTGGCACCGTCACGACAGATAAAGCCAAGCTCTTCCATGAATGATCGAGCTTCCTGTGTAGGCCCGTAGTAGATCTCCTTACCCCCGTCGAGTACGAGGACCTTGTCAAAAAGGTTGTAAATTCCGTTGCCGGCCTGATAGAGGGTCACAATCGATGCAAGGCCCAGCACGTCAGTCAACGCTCTGATGGCCTTCGTATATTCGAGGGCTCTTGGACTTTGTTAGTCATTGGTACACTGAACGGCAAGCAACTTTGACCATGACTTACGTGCTGGCATCAAGACCACGTGTGCTATTATCCCAACAATAGACCGAGCCCCTGGTGGCGAGGCATTCAATGATGGAAACTCGCTTCCGCTCTCCTCCAGACACGCCGCGGACGTACTCATTGCCAACCTTGGTATCGAACGTGTGCTGAATGCCCATGGACTGAAGAAGGAAGTCGCGAGTCTCAATGCGGAGTTCTTCGTCCGAAGCCACACCCTCGGGCAATTTGAACGGAATTTTCATGCGGCTGGCAAAGTCCATAGTCTGGCCGACGGTGAGGTCAGGGAAGAAGAGCTCTTCCTCGGTGTTCATGACAATCTGTCCCCTGTAGTGCTGAGCCTCGTCGGCAGTCATGGCGCCGTAGCGAACATCGCCGGTGACGGCCGCGTACCCACGCCGATGGTTGGCTAGGACGCTGAGGAGCGTGGTGCAGCCGGATCCTGGGCGGCCCAAAACGAGCAGCATCTCGCCAGGCTTCACACAGCCATGGCTCTCGGAGAGGATGGACTTCAGGGGTGGTTTGTGCCGGGACTCCTTGACAAGCTTCGGGATGTTGAACTGGCTGCCAAAGTTCTCGTGAATGGCGGCATCGGCGCTGACGGCCTGTACAGTGAGGTTGCTCCAGGTGATTCCGAGCTTACGAGGCGCGAAGCCCGATCGTTGGTCGCGCTCATGGATAGCCTCAACCTTGTGCTTGAGCCCCCAGGTCTGGTCGTTCTCCGGAACGGAGCCGAGTTCGATGGAGGGCTCCAGTGTGGCTAGTGTTGCTTCTGACTCCATTGTTGACTTGAAGAGGAGAACCAGGGTCTGACAGAGGTTTGCTGGCTCGAACTCTACATTTCACTCGACGGGGGCAAAAAGTGCGAGAACATGATATATACTGGAGGGCAAGCGGGCTTCGGGGTTCTCAAGGCACCGATCGAGCACCGATTCGAGTCGGACAACAAAGCGTCATGCCTTTGCGGTTTGAACGGAGGCACCATCAAGTGTTGCTGTCATAATTGAGCCGTGGATCCGCCCTTCGGAGGGCCGGACCCTGGCGAGTAAACACCATATGGCCCGCTGTTGAGGCTGCGTCTGGCATTTTGAGACCGCTTAGTCAACGAGAAAAATGCGTGGAGGGAGCGCCACGGCAAAGGTCAAGCACAGATTTCGCAGCATCGCGTCGGGTCTTCGGCCTCCA